CGAGGGGGAAAAAAAAGATTGGATAGGGAAAGCTCTGGCTTCGTGTGGACGTAGCCATAGTGGATAAAAAAACCTACATGTCAGCTTTAAAGGGATAGTTAACCCAAAAATGAGTACTTTTTAACTTTATAAACTGTAATCTAGCTTCCGCTAACTGTTGTACGCACGTTCACGAGAGAGTGGCGTTCCAGCGGGAGATTAGGACGTAAGCATAGCACAAGCTCTGGTGAGAAGTGATGAATGTGATAGCACAGAGGAGAGAGCAAAACAAAAACACCACTCATGAGTTAGAAGTACAAAACGAGGATTTGTAAAGAAAATGTTGGAAAATTTCGATATAAGCCAAGAGAGGAGACTGGTTTTCGTTTGCTGTAAACAAACCTTGGTTCTCTCAAGACTAGCATATTCTCAACCGAGCTTATGCTACTCCTACGTCATCCACTGGAACGTCACTCTCTCGTGAACACATATGCAACAGTTAGCGGAAGCTAGAGATTATGGTTTATAAAGTTTTAAATACGATTATTATTCCTACACAAATGCATCAATTCACTTCAGAAGGCCTTTATTAACCCCCAGAGTGTGTGTAGAACATTTTATGATAGATGGACGCACTTTTTTGGGCTTCAAAATCTCTACCCTCATTCACTGCCATTGTAAATCCTGGAGGAGCCAGGACATTCAAAATAAATAAATAAAAACTGATTGTATTGGTCTGAAAGAAGAAAGTCATATACACCTACTTGAGGGTAAGTAAATCATGAGGTAATTTTCATTTTTTGGTGAACAATCCATTTAATAACTGGGAAAACTACGGAAGCTTGTTTCCTCCATTCAATAAAAAAAAAGGATTAAGGTAATCTTACAGATCTGACTTTTTCTCGCAATTCTGAGTTTATATCTCACAGTTCTGACTTTTCTGAATTTTTTTATTCATTATGGTGTTGTAATTTACGGTATATATTTAATTATGCATCATTTGTTATAAGGTCAAATGAACTCGAAGACTGCAGTTAAAGACTGCATGTGTCCTTATCACAATTCTGAGTTTATATCACACAAAAAAGCGAGATATACAGTAAACTCAGAATTGCAAAATATATGGCATCTCTGAGAAAAAGTCAGAATTGTGAAATATACATTTGCAATTGCGAGAAAAAATTATATTCCGTAAAAAAAACACTGTATACGAGCAGTAAAATCCCATCATTCTGATTATTCTGATTCATGATGCCTGGAATGTTGCCACCAGATGTTTATTTACAGTTTAGGGGTTGGACTATGTTTGATAAATTCTTGTAAAAGCTGCTAAAATCCCATTCTGCATAAGTGGGATGCTGTCGTTAGCCGCAGTCCTCCAGCTGAGTTATTACACCGGTTTCCTAAATGGTTTCTGTAAGAGCTTTCCAATGTAATTGTTGGCTTTCTGGAGTGCTGAATATTGATCGCGCCGCTCTTTATTTTAATAACCCACGAGCATGCATCCTGGTGGTCATCAGTAGATACAGAAAATACCACAATGAAGCACAAAAAGCAATTTATGTGTGTGTGAGAAGAAAAAGTGAAGCCATACAGAAGAAGAGATGTTAATGACAGCAATAACAGGATGAGGCCAGCCAAACAAGTAATCATATTTCATCACATAATAAGGATTGCATTTATAATTAATGTGAAAACTAATATGATGGCATAATTCAACAATTCCTTCTTGTCCAATATGTTGATGCTCTCAAGACCAAATGTTGGTACATTTGGGGTAAGAACATTAATGACGATCTTTTTCACAGGGCATATACCAATGTTTGTTTGTATCAAATGCTCTCTAGAATGAGCATGTCTCTCATTTCTCATAGTTCATTTACTGTATTAATCTTTTATATATTTCTGTTTGCATGAAGGATATTTCCCCATTTTTACAGAATCTCAGATTGAAGAATAGTTCACCCTAAAATGAAATTAGCTGAAAAGCCATCCAAGATGTAGATGAGTTTTTCTTCATCAGATTTGGAGAAATGTAGCTTTACATTAATTGCTCAGCAATGGATGCTCTGCAGTGAATGGGTGCCGTCAGAATGAGAGTCCAAACAGCTGATAAAAACATCACAATAATCCACAAGTAATCCACACCACTCCAGTCCATCAGTTAATGTCCTGTGAAGAGAAAAACTTCATTTGTAAGAAACAAATCATCATTAAAACATTTTCAACTTCAAACTGGCTAAAATACGTCCATAATTCATAATAATGCTTCCTTTGGTGAAGAAGTTGTCTCGTCTGAATCAGTGACGTGACATGTGGCCAAGTATGGTGACCCATACTTGGAATTAGTGCTCTGCATTTATCCCATCCAAAGTGCACACACAGCAGTGAACACACACCCGGAGCAGTGGGCAGCCATTTTTTGCTGCGGCGCCCGGGGAACAGTTGGGGGTGTATTAGGTTAGGTGGCCTATAGTGAGAATTGTTTTAAACATGTACCACCTACAATAATCAATTGCCACTTACATAAGTATGGCAGTCAAATTACCATTATAAACAATAAACATCTGCTTGAACAGTCATTTTATTTGTGAGAATGTCACCATACTCTCTCCTCAAACAAATGACAACAGCTTAACGTCTCCCTCTGGTGGGTAAAGTAGAACTAACTAGTCCTGGCTGTACTGTATAACAGGCCTACTCATGTTGAACATAAAAAGTAGCCCAAGTGTCTATTACACTAACTTAGTGTCAATAAGTGCAAATATCTAACCTTTTGGCAAGGAGTATTTCCACACACCACTGCTCAGACAGTTTACCTTTAATACAAATAACTTTTCACTTATATTTACACTTTACATTAGGTGCACTTATCACTTTGCATTTAGTATCCACCTTATTTTTAACGGAAGAGGACGCGTGGCTATTAGTAACTTGAATGTGCGAGACTTCCGGTGTCATTGGCTTCCAGTTATTTTACCTGTACAAAAACAGTCAGTTGTGCTACTTGATATTGCAAACTATTTGTCATTAATATTATTTTTAATTCAGATGAAGCCTTGACTGCAAATGGAGACATAATGCAACCTCTGAACTGTGTTTGTCAAAGGTCATATATTTAATGAATATTTGTTTCGTATGCAATAGGTCTTCTAAAAAAAAGGGGTAGGAAATTGAGGGATGTAGGAAATGTTAATTGTTTGTGTCAGTGTGGATGTTGTGTATAGCGAGACCAAAGACCAATTTTCATTCATATCAAGGCTGGACAATAAAGTACAACTAACTAATACCATGGGGGGAGAGCGGGGTAATTTGAGCCTGTGGGGAAGTAGGGCCACCCCTTGTTTCCAGGCAGCCTTAACACAAAATTGGTGATGTGGTATGGAATTTTATATATTTATGTAATCTATCCGGAAATGTATGTATTTGTGTAATATATTTAAGTTGGACCCATTACGGAATGTGCTCGCTTTAAACACACCGTAAGTACAAACTGACTCAACTCGCCCCACTCTCACTTAAATATGGTAGGCGTATGGCATAGTAGCAATGTATCATGTCTAAGAAGAAAATTAGCCGCATTTAAAAACCTATCCAAAAAGCATGGTTCCACTAACACCATCACTACGGTAGGCTACTAACATGGTTAAAAATAAAAAAATAAAAAAACGTGGTGCTTTTTAGCAAGTGTGAAAGCCATCGTGTTCTCCATTGTTCGGCAAACAGCCTGTGCTTCCTCTAGGAGCTGTTATCGGGTGTGATGGGGTGTGACTGTGAACACACCCAGCAGCACTGTTTACAAACACCAGGAAGAGATGACGTCACCCTGCAGGAGCACATGTTCTGCGCCCATCTCCCTGTGTGCGTTCACGCTTCTGAAGAAATGGCGTCTGCTTAACGTTTAAACGACAGAGTACGTGTTGTTTCAGGGGAGGGTCATTTTCGCGCTCAGAACGCTTGAATAAACACGTTTGTTTTCATGACCTCCATACCCAAAACACACGCTGACGGCGCTGAGGATTCTGGGGGAATCGGAGACTGCAGACGTGGAGAGGCGTAAAGCACGGAGTGGGTTTCAATGGGATTTTGCTCTAGGCTTAGGCTACTCAGTTTTCTAAACTGTTTTCTAAAGATACATTATGATACGCTTTTATGAAGATAGATGCATGTCGGGTAAAAATGTGAACTATAATTAGAATATATAAAATGGACGATGAGCTAAAACCTTGGTTAATTATATTAAATCACATTTATGAATTATGAACTTCCGTTTTTGGCGACATTTTAAACATAGTATGAAATTAATTACATTCAATTGTAAAGGTACTTTTATTGGCAAGATCGGTGCACATTCAAATTCCCAAAGCAATTAATATGCACAAGAAAAACGTGAATAAAATATAATCCTTCTATATTACAAGATTTTAGGCTGTTTTTATTTTATTTTATTAAATACTTTAGTATTATATTAGATCATACTTTTTTTCTATATTCATTTACATTTAGTCATTTAGCAGACGCTGTTATCCAAAGCGACTTACAAATGAGGACAATGGAAGCAATGATATGCAAGTGCTATGACAAGTCTGAGTCAGCTTAACGCAGTTTTATATAATTATATAGCTAATAAATAAAAAGAAAACAAATAGAATAGAAAAAGAATAGAGAAAGCTAGTGTTAGAGGCCTTTTTTAAAAGAAAACAAGCAGTTAGAATACAAATAGGTTTTTTGTTGATTAGGCCCGTACAATAAAAAGAAAACAAATAGACAGAATAGAAAGTGTTAGAGGCTTTTTAAAAAAGAAAATAAGCAGTTAGAAAACAAATACTTGTTTTGTTAATTATATAATAAATAAAAAGAAAAGAAATAGAATAGAGAAAGCTAGTGTTAGAGGTTTTTTAAAAGAAAACAAGCAGTTAGAAAACAAATAGAGTGCAAGTCTTAAAGGGTAAAGTGTTTTTTTTTTTAATAAAAAAAAATATTCACTGTGTAATTTTTATTCGATAATTTATTATTGCCGTAATAATATTATAAAGCCATTTCACGTCCATGACACACCTCCAGTCCAGTGTTGTCAACTCTCCACACACATGCGTGTTGAAGCACAGCGCAACCGACCTTCAATCCGTCATGTCTTCCATATTCCTTATTTAATTGGTTGCGATTGAATTACCGCATCCCCCAGCGCGTCTCTGATTGGCTCGCCTGCCTGTCAATCACAGCGCCCCCTCCACCAGCGCGCTTTGATTGGCTAAGGCACCCTTCTCTTTCTCTGTGCGGTGAATCGCGGCGGTGGGTCGATTCGCCGCCGCTGATGCTGGTGTCTCCGGTCGGGCACGTTTAACGTTTCACCCCCTTCATATTTTCCATTCATATTTAGCGTGCCCCGTCCCGTGTGTGCGGAAAGATAAAGATGGCAGCGGTGGCCCGCCTGGAGGGCCGCGAGTTTGAGTATGTGATGAAGAAGCGCTCGGTGACGGTGGGTCGGAACTCGTCGCAGGGCTCGGTGGACGTGAGCATGGGCCACTCGAGCTTCATCTCCCGCCGGCATCTGGAGATCTTCACCGCCGCCGCGGAGGACACGGGCTCGGGAGAGTTTTATCTGCGCTGTCTGGGCAAAAACGGGGTGTTCGTGGATGGGGTGTTTCTGCGGCGGGGGGCGCCACCCCTGCAGCTGCCGCGAGTGTGAGTTATTATAACCTTCATCTTCTCTGTGCTCATCATCCTCATCGTCTTCGCTGTTATTATTGTTGTTGTTGTGATGCAGCAGAACCGGGAGCACGTGCTAGTGTCCTTATGTTGCACATTTTTTCGTTTCGCTTTCAGAGCGCGCTGTGGGCCGTGTCTCAAACCCTAGTGAGCTGCCTAGCTAGACAGCATTCGCAGGCGTTATGTTGATGGTCATTGTGTGCAACATCGTTTTTACACGTGTGCGTGTAACGTTTCAGGTGCATGGAACGTTTTTGGGGCGTGACAGATGTGTCGAGCATTTTTCATCGACAGGGGGCGAGTGCGGCGTTTTTGGACACCATAAGTGCATGCGATATTTTGGGGGTGTCATAGGTGGATGTTGCAGCAGATTAGAGCATTGCATGCGCGTGTAGCTGCAATTTTTGGGGGCATCATGGCTATGTAGATTTTTTCAGGACATTGCTTGCAATAGTTTGGGGTGTTATTGATATATGCATAATTTTTGAGCAACAATAGGTGCATGTAGAGTTTTGGGAGTCATAGGCACGTGTATCAATTTTGGGGCATAGTAGGTGTGTGCAATAGCATTTTGGAGTGCATCATAGGTACTTGTAGCACATATTGGTTTCTTATAGGTGCATGTAGTGCATGTGCATCATCACAGATGCATGTAACTGCATTTTTGGACGTCACAGGCATGTATAGCAACATTTTTGAGCAACAATGGGTGTATGCAGCATTTTGTTAGTCATAGGCACATGCAGCATTTTGGGGTGCTTGCAGTGGATTGGGGGTTATAGGTGCATGCAATATGTTTGGGCATCATCACAGATGCATGAAGCAGCATTTTATGCACCATAGGTGCATTCAGTATTTTGGGGGTGTCATAGGTGTATACTGCAGCAGATTAGAGCATCACATGCACGTGACGCAACATTTTTTGGGGCATCATGGGTATAAAGATTTATTGGGAAGGTATAGGTGCTTGCGGCGGTTTGGGTTGTTATAGTTGCATGCAATATTTTTGGGCATGTGTAGCAGCATTTTAGGGCAACAGTGGAAATTTTGCAGAATTTTGGGAGTCACAGGCACATGCTGCAGCAGTTTGGGGCATCATAGGTGTACTGTATGTAGCAGCATTTTTGGCCATGATAGGTGTGTGCAGCATGTTGGGGGTTAATGCAGCCGTTTTGGGCATCGCGTGCAGCATTGTAGGTAGAGCTGCGCGTTTCTGGATAAATTGAGAATCACAATTTTTTTTGTCTCAAATAGAGATCACGATTCTGAACTAAACAAAATAATGTGTGGCAAAATATTATTGCTGCAGTCTATTTAAAAGTGTTTAATTAATTTGAATGACTGATTCAACATTTTTGAAATAAAAAGCTTTTGTAACATTATACACTATACCATTCAAAAGCTTGGAGTCAATATTTTTTTTGAGGGGGGGGGATTATATAAATTAATACTTTTATTTAGCAAGAATCCTTTACATTTATCAAAAGTGATGATAAAGACATTTATAATGTTACAAAATATTTATATTTCAGATAAATGTTGCTTTGAAATCACAGGAATAAATTACATTTTAAAAATATATTCAAATAGAAAGTTATTTTAAATAGTAAAAATATTTTGAAATTTTACTGTTTTTGCTTTGGATCAAATAAATGCAGGCTTGGTGAGCAGAAGAGACTTCTTAAAAAAAACATAAAAAATAGTACGGTTCAAAAACTTTTGACTGGTAGTGTAATATGTATTTAAAATATTTGAAAAGCTGTTTGTGAAGCTGTTTCTTAACCAAACATGGTAACTGCTCTCTCTGTATCAGCGGCAGTGCGAACGCAGATTTGAATTATCCGGAAAGCTTTA